CCCCCCTAACCCCCCCCCCACCCCCTGCTCCCAGGTTTTCCTTCGTGCCACGTTACCCCGACTCTCAGGAAGCTGTAAAGCAGCTCAGAGGTCAAAATGCAGCATCGTGTTAAGTGTGACAAACCAAAAGTACAGTTTTCACTCTTAAAATTAACGACATAAACTACATGCAAGTTACAACACCCCCCCACCCCCCCCCCCCAACAACAATCCACAAACAAAAAACAGCAGATAATCAAATTCTTCATAGCAAAGGCCAATAGAAGAGAGTAAAAAAATCAAAAACCTGCTTCCCCTTGCCTTCCTGCTACAGACAGGGCGAGGGGAGGAAGAGAGACAAACACTCGGTATGTCCTGGATAGAGAAATATATTTGCTTCAGAGAATGTCTCCCCTATCTCCCCACACCCTAAAACAAGACAGGGAAAACTAATCTTCATAAACGTAGGCCAGCTGAAGCTAAAAAAAAAAAACCAAACAAACCCCACACCTCTTCTCATCTGGAGTCGGCATCACAGAGCTAACATGGTACCGCTGAAAAGTGCATCTTTAGGAAAAAAAACAAACCCAAAAAAGAAGGTTGGGGTGACGACGGCAGAGGAAGCGAGGGGGAGGCGGCCCCTGGGAGGGCTAGTTTCCCCGGAAAGCACTCTGTGCGGCTGAGGAGGCCGCCCCGGCGGCTGCGTTCTGGAAGCCCCTGTTGGTGAGGATGCCTTGGGAAAACTCTTCCTGGGCCCTTTGGAAACTGGCTCCCGTGCGCCGATACAGGGAATGCACCTGGGAGAGAGAGGGGGAAGAGAGGGAAGAAAAACCTCAGCCTGCAGGTAGGGGTTGCTGCACACGCCTTGCTTGCTTTTCCTCGGCCCCGTCGCTAACCAGCTCTCTCGGCGGCTAGAGAGGATGGGCTGGAGCCGTCGGCTCCATCTCACCCAGCACACGATGCTGCAGGTTTCAGGAGACCCTCATTTGTGGTAAAACGTGGAGCTCTCGGCAAGATGGCGGGTATCAGACCAAAAACCTCCTCTCCCCGCACCGTGACGGTACGGACGCTTAACCCCTGCGTTTACGGACACTTGCAGGGCAGGACCTGAAGGTGCCTGCAGCTACAAGCATCAGGTATTTCCTTCAAGATACAATTTCGGAGAAAAGGAGGAGGGGGAAGCAATAGAAACAGGACCAGTTCAGCCTGTCCTTGCCTTCCCCAAAGCTACACTGCTGCCGTTCACCGTAGAAATGCAACCCTCGCGTGGTCGATCGGAAGGAGGAAGGGAGGGGGGGGCCCCTGTGTCTGGCAGCCAGCGGGAAGGCACTCGTTCGGATCCCACCAGCCTTTGGAAAGTCCCACAACATCGCGGCAGCAGCGACCGTAAAGCCCCGGATACCCCAACAAAGCGACGGCCTTCTCCGGACAGACTCAAGCTAAAGGGAGGTGCAAGAAATTTGATGTCTGCCTTTGATGAAGGTGACACGTGGGACCTCGCCGGCCATCTTCTCTGGACAGCAGGCAATGCAGCAAGCCTTACTACACCCTCCTTTATTCTAAGGTGCACGGTTAACGGCGTGCCTTAGTGAAGCATCTGTGCCTCTCGTTCCCTCCCCGAAGGCTACTTTCCCACCCGCGGGTCCCCTTAGTGTTCAAGCAACTTGGCGTCGATGCAGGAAGCACGAGCAAAGATACTTTCATTAAAAGCTCTTGACCTGACAGGTCCCCGATTACATCTTGAAAAGCAAGCTAATCCCCAGAGAGAGGAGGAGGAGGCGGCGATCCCAGGATACCCCGGGAGCAGCCCGACCTGTGGATCCGCGATTCAGCCGAGACCTCGCCCTGCCTCCGAGCCACTCACCTGCTTCAGGAGGAAGAGCGAGAGAACCGCGCACAGCGTGAAGAATCCTGCCACCACCATCATGATGACAGCCACAGCCAGGTTCCAGTGCAGCTCAGAGAGCGCCGCAATCCATCCGCTGCAAGACAGAGGGGAGCGGGGCGAGCTCAGCGAGCATTCGATTCACAGAATGAGGTGGGGCAGAGGGAGAAGAGGCACCGACGGCTGCACAAGAGCATTTGGGGGAAGGCTACAGGGAAGCGCAAACCCAGACATAATGGCTGTGGAAACAGGGACCCGGAGCTCATCCAGGCGCTCGTTTGGGGGCCAGAATTTCCATTATCATTTTTAGAAGCAGTCCACCTCTACACAAGGGAATCCCGCTCGCCCCACCCGCATTACAGCCCCGGCCCCTGCAGCACCCCCCCTGAAGCAGTGGCAGCCCCCTTGGCGCCGTCACAGATCAAGTCACTTCCACGAGCACCTTCTCAGCCAAGCAGCGCAGAGACAGGCTGCTGCGTCTGCATCGGAAGAGATCAGAGATCAGTTAAGCAGCTGTCAGCACCCTTGGCGCCGTCACAGATCAAGTCACTTCCACGAGCACCTTCTCGAGGTTCAGCCAAGCAGCGCAGAGACAGGCTGCTGCGTCTGCATCGGAAGAGATCAGCTGGCGGGTCTGGAGCATAGCCCCACACGTCACCGTGACAGCTCTGCGCGGCCAGGGATGTTAAGTGTTGGGAGAGGGAGGAAAGGGAAGGAAGGGATGAAGTAAAGAGCTACAGAAAGGAGGAAACTGGCAGCGGTTGAAGTGAAGGGGCAGGGAGGGTGCTGGGAGTTATCAGCGCTCGGCTGTGGGCGAAAATACCGAGATGCCTCACTCAAAACACCCTCCTGGGTGCTGGAGAAAGGAATCTTTCCAACTGCTAAACCAAGCAAGTCGTGTGCCACCAGGGGAGAGGGAGTCAAGCGAGCCAAACCGTCCCATTGGGTGTGCTGCACAACTTCTTGCTCGTTACAAGGAAGCGGAAAGGCGCACCATGCGCTACAGCCAAAAATAAACGCGCTGTCTGGCCGGAGGAGACACAGCAGAAAGCTCAACGCACGCTCTCCGAAGTCAGACTGAAAACGGAGTGCCCCCTCCCAGTCCCCCACGACTAAGGCGGCACCAGCTAGCAGGGGAGGGAGCACGAGGACAGCTTTGCCCGTGAGCCGTTCTGCAGGCAGCGGGCAAAAATAGACAGCAGTTTCACTGCGCTCATCACCTGAAGGCTCCCCCCTCAGGAGAAAAACCACTAGCTGTTAACCTTTTCACCGTTCACAGTAACTCGGGAATCTGATCCGCGGCCAGCGCAGCAAGGCGAGAAGAAAGCTACTGCTCTCACGGCAGGGGACGGCTGCTGACAAGAGGCCTGCTGGACCCACTCCAGAAGCCCAGACTCACCCTTCTGTACAATGCCGTCAAGAAAGGGTGAGGGTAAAACCCTCTCTGCTTATTTTTTGAAGCACAGCCCACCGGCAACACACTCGAGAGAAGTTCAGGAAGAGTTTGGGGACAGAATTGGGCTGCTAGCAGCAGCGTGGAGTTCAGCCGTATCCAGACTCCGGGTCAGAGATCACTCACCCCCCACGCTACAGCCTCTATCGGGGAAGGCTCCCTTCTAACACAAGGCAGACATGGTCAACACTAGAGGCTCAGCATCAAGAAGGGATAAGTATTATACGTATTATGTGAGGGGGAAGGCAGCAGAGGAGGCGTAGAAGACCTCACGTACTCCTTTCAGCGCTGGCCGGCAGCGGAAAAGGTACATGCCTTTGCTGGGAGTAGGACGGGAAGAGCGGAGGAGAGAGGCAGCCCGGCTGGGACCTGCCAAGGCTGCGTATCAGGCGAGAGGGGAAAACCACGGGAGAAAGAACAGGCAGCTGTCAGAAACGGACCCCAAAGCTTCTGACAGTCGCAGCCCTGGCGAGAAAAAGCATCCGTGCAGGGCTGTGACACGGCAGCCCCTGAAGCCAAGCTTACCTGTCTCCCCAGCCAGGAATGCCGACAGCCTGGATGATGTAGATGACTATTTGGCACAAGAAGATGAAAAAGAAGACGAAGAAGCTGAAGGAACTGTCAGACCTGCAGGAGAGACGGCGGCAGGAGTGAAACCCAGGGACGTGATCCCTGCGCAGACTCCCTTCTCTAAGAGGAGGGAAACAATTTCACAGTGAGCTCCTTTCTCCAGGGGAAAGCTGCTAAGGGGAGGCGATTTCAGGAGGAACTCATGCAGCGGCACAACTGACATGTCCACTGCGTATCGCAAAACCACCGCTCTGCCCAGCGCAGGACGGGGTGAAGGCAGCTTCCTTAACGCACGCGGCGTGCTCACCACATTAATGTACCAAACAGTTTCCCAGAAATGAATAAAAAAGTAGGACCCTATGATCGGCTAGGCTTGGATTTCGAGATGAAAAAGGACCACCATAATTAAAGTTCCACCAGATACTTCTAATACGTTTAGGAACAAGTGGGTTTGATCTACTTAACGATGCAAAGAGCTGGAAAAATCCTTGCAAGGCAATATACGATCGGAACAGATAAAACCACAGCTCCTCCCACTAAAAGATATATCCCCGTTACAGAAGAAAATAGTACTTGCCTGAAAGCCTTGTAAATTGGTCGGTACCAACAGAGAAAGGCACAAGGGGTGAATAAAATAAACCACAGGATCGAGAGACCAAAGTCTACTCCTCTTTCCGTCTGGACTGTGAACCACGCCAGGCAAGCAAGCAGGTTTAGGAGCAGGGTAATCGAATGCACTGTTCAGGATGCGGGGGGAGAGAGAGAGGAAAAAAAACCACCAGTAAATTCTTGGAAAACTCAGCAGCATCCCTTATCTCTCACTGAACACATGGAGCTCTGCAGAAATTAAGGAGACTTTGGGCCATCTGGTTTCCTTGCCTCCCTTGAAAGGAAAACGGAGCTTAACCTAAGAACCTCATCTGATCCTGCTGCTTACAACCAAATCTTAAATCTTTTCAGAGCACCAAAACTGACAAAGACGGTTGAGACTGTTTTGCACCCAACCTCCAAACTGCGCTATCCCGCTGTCTTTCAGAGTCTCAGGAGAACCGTTGAAGTCTCCATTAAACAACGATCAAAATTCTGCCGTGAGTGAACTATTCCCAAAGCATAAAACTTGGAGTCCTTTACATTTGCCTTCATAAGAAAGGAAGGGGGACATTACTTTACCCTTGCAGACAACACCTACAGAATTTACTGTAGGGCAAAGCTCAGCGTCCGATACAGAACCTTCTCAGAAAGAGTTTTCATTGCAGTTCAAGCTATTACTCACGCATCCACAAGTAATACAGCATCTTGCATATCCGCTGGTAGTCAGCCGGGATGTCTGCAGAAAAATCCTGATAAAAACACGGCTTGATCGGACACTTCTTGGGAAGAGGTGGCCAGTTGTTTTGCCTCGCTGCGGAAAGGAGAAAGGAGCAGTTCTTCACTTGCTCTTCTCTCACTGAAAGACTAATTCGCACACCGTGATTTGCAAGTAGCCATTCGTATATACCGACATTAAAACCTTGGAAGAGGCTAGGTCTTGGTTAAGCAACTAGGTTTGAGCAGGGATGCGTTAACTCTGTGAGGCAGACCAGCCTAGCCTGAGGGCTTTCCTCTGTGGGAGGCAGAATTCCCCGGCAATGGCCAAAGGCCCGTCACAACCACGGCCACTCGGCACTACAGGTCCGGATTCAGCCAATTGAAACCAAGATTAGGGGAAAACATCGTTTTGCTGTGGTTAAGAGAGCCTCGAGACTGCAAAAAAGCTTTATTGCTCTCAGTGAAAAGCGTCACGCAACAGCTCAGACACGGATACAAAAATTGGTGTTTGAAGAACTTAACGTGGCCAAACGCAGATGCTGAGAGCACGCTCGAGGGCGGAGACCCGCCAGAGCTGGTCTCCAGCATCTCATCCCTGAGCTCGTTTCCCCATCTGGTAAGTTCTGGGGTGACGGGTACGGTCCCAAGAGGGTTGCCACAGCTGTGAGGGACTAGAGGAAAGACACGTGGCTTCTAAAAAAGCCGCATACACTTGGACAGGCTGAGCCTTCATCGCATCCTGGCAAACCAAGCGACCCAGGCTTCCCTGGGCATCACGCTCCTTGCGGGCAGGGCGCTGCAGGAAGCGGTACTCACGATTAATGCTGGCTGTGTTACTCTGCAATTCCCTTTCCTTCTTCTCCAACTCAGCTGCCTTCCTCTCTAATTCTGCCTGCTGCTGAAGAAGCCCAGCCTGTGCTGCTGCAGCCACAGCCTAAAGTAGGGGGAGAAAAAGTTAAGTCCCTCCCTAAGCGAGGCCGGTGGCGATACCACCAGCAAACACACCAGATGCCAAACCGGGACGGAAGGAAAGGCAATTCAATAGCAACGATCGAGGACAATTTGAAAGCTGAACGCCCGTGGCTGATCTGAAACATCTCGAGGCTTTCTGCCTTACCTGCTGGAAGATAAGGATCAAGATCAATGCAGAACTCCACCCAGATGTCCCTCTCTTACCCCATGGGAAGACAGGGCTGGAAGAGCCCTCAGGAGGCTATCCAGTCTGTTGCCCAACCTCTATGCCCTTCCCTTTCAGCAGAGCTATGCTTTCCTCGCAGCTTCTTCTACCTCCCAGTCAGCCTCGCTGCTCTAAGTGCTCTTACAACAGAGCAGCGGGCAGGACTCCCGAGTTTACCGAGACAATTCCCTTCCCAGCCAGGAGAGGAGGTCTAAAGGAAAGGCAAGGCAGCCGTCTATCACACCTCTTTCCCGTGCATCTCTTCTACCTGCTCGCTGTTCCGAGAACTGACCCCTTCTCCTAGCAGCCTCGGCTTCTCTGCTCTTTGGATGAGGCGGTCCCGGCAGTCGGGTACTTGCCAGCCAGTCTAAGCTGCAGCTGCCACGTACAGCTAGACTGCATTTACACTCCTGGGACCGAGCGCGTCCGACCAGTCACCAGAACTAAGCTAAAAGCATTAGCAGGATCATTTCAGTGTTTGCAGAGGGAAGCCAGAGCGAAGTGAGCTCTGCTACCAGAGGGACAGGGAAGAGGCATGACAAGAATTGCGTGTATGTATTCCCTATCGAGATCCGCTTCGCAAGGCGGGTACAAATGCAAGTTTAAAAGATGGCCTGCAGCTTCCCACACCCAACCCCGGAGAATCCCGTTCCCCTCCTATTCCCACACGCCTCCAGGGGCCCACGGGCGCTCCTTCACGCTCTCCAGCCCAGCTGTTGGGAAGGTGGTAAGCGAGGGGTTGCCATACCTGGGGAGTGGGCTCCACGGACGTCTGCAGAACAGCAGGCTGCGAGCGGCCAGAGGGCTGCGTGGCTGGCGTCGTCCGTGCTGCATTTGTCTGCATGTAAGTCGCAAGCAACAAGGCAAAAACATTACATATTGCTTCTTTTAGCAAAGGATAGTTCAAGTTTTAGCACAACTAGAACAGAAAGCACTAGCGGGAAGCGACTCTGTTTTCAAAAGTTTGTTAGTTCCTTAGTGCACCGGGGGAGCAGCACCTGAGGATTACGGGTATTAGGCAAAGGAGAAACAAAAAGGGATTTCGATCAGGTGTTTGAACTGCAAATATTGCTTTACCCCGGTTTCCCGTTCTCCTTTTCCCATCGCACACACGACAGCAGCCAGGAAATAAGAATGAAGTTCTTGCAGCGATCCCTCAAGGATATTGCCACAGCAGTTCAGCTCCCAACCCAGAGACCAAATAAATATTGACGCGCCCTGCCACGAAACATCTTCCCCTTCACACTTCACGTAGCTTAACTGCGAGCCAGCAGCAAGTTTGAGAGAAGCCGTTCCGTGCGAGCGGAGAGCTCCAGCCGGGAGTTGATTGCCGCTCCAGTGCGGGAGCAGTTGCTTGCAGCTTGCCACGCACGCAAAGAACTACTGTCCGTGGGGAAACCAGCTGCAAACACCTCACTCTTTGTCTTTTAAGCTGCACCTACCGAGGGACCTTCTACACCGCTAAAACCACTGCCAAGATACCTAGCGCAAAGACACATGGCACGTACCAGCTGGGAGCTCTCGGAAAAGGGGTTGAATTCATCCAAGCCACTTTGGCTAGCGTTTGTGAGCTGTGTCACCGAGGGATCCTGAAAGGAGAGAGAGCAAAGACAAATCGGCATCGATGACACAGGTCATCGTTAGCTCATACGTTATCCGCCCTGCCTGCCTTCCATCCACCCGTTAACTGGGAACGGGATGGGGCGAAACGCAGCCCTGCCACAGGTGGATGGCCTTGGCTGGCAACCAATTTAAATAACCAAGGAGATGACTATCAGCAAGGCGAGATTTGCGGGCAGAAGTAATCTCCCGTTCAGCCAAGAGGTACATTTGAGGAACCACAACGTGCTTTTGGCACAGGAGCCCTTTCTGCAGATTACTGCCGCTTACCTACAGCGAGTTATTCCCCGTTTCCAGGGACTCGAAGCGGGACCACGGATTCATTCACCCGTGGTCGGGGAGCTGCTGGACACCCTGGACCACCTCCCAAACCTCACCCGCCCCACAAAGCGAGCGAGGATCCACAAAGCACAGCAGAGCCTCACAAAATGAGTTTCCAGGTACGACTCGGTCCTGGCTGATAGGTGTCAGCTGCCACCCAGGGCATTTGGGCCAGCAAGCTAAGATGCCAGTGATTGCTCTGAAAAGGTAGAACAGCCAGGAAAACCGAGCTGGAGGCGTGACACCAAGTGCTTTCGGAGGTTTTAATTCCGCCGGCGTAACAGCTGCGTTCACCTGTACTCACAGCATCTCCCACTCGCCCCCGTCAAATAGTCCGAATGTTTAAAAAAAAAAGGCGCTCTGCACGTCTACTGAAAACGCCTTTCCTCCCTCACCTGCAATGCGCCCAGCTATTTTTATCTTCTCTTTTACACACGCTACTTTCCATAAAAAGATCCCTCTTTGACAGCCAGACTTGGACCTCTGGAGTCTTTCTCTCCCCAGTTATTAGAGAAACGAGGTACTTTTTGAAGTCAGAAATCCCACTGCGAGAACAGCCTGGCAACCTGATAGCTGGGTGCGGGTAAAAAAATAAAATAAATAAAAAAAGTGACTTTTTATCCCTCCCTCCCCCTTGAGCTCAGTCGTTTTAATTTTGTGGTTAATGGGGTGAGAAGCAATTGAGGCTGCGACAAGGTAAGGGCGAGCGATCGAGGTGTACGGGGGCTGACCGAGCCCGCGTGCTGCAGAGAAGTCTTTTGGCTTGTCTGCAACCCTCTGGAGGCATTCCCCGGGTTTTTAGCGCAGCCTCCTGCTGAGCAAGATGCGTACGGAACAGTTAATGAGTAACCTCACACATCTCCTCGATAGCAGGCACTCCCTACGCGACAGGTTGCACTAGTTTATGAATCACCCCCGGGTGAGGGATCTCAGACGACGTTTTCGGATGCTGCACAACTCCCCGGCCAGGCAGGGCCGTAAAAAAATAAAATAAATAAATGGGGGAGCACCAGCAGAACCGCCACACTGGAAATAAGGGCTGCAAGGACTCAAGGCACAGGTTTTCCTTCACTACTTACTCCTCTGGAGGCTTTAGCTTAACCAGTTTCGCAGACGCATGGGCTGTCGACACAAGCTTACAAGTCAGTTAACGCAGGATAGCTACTGCGTGCTAGCGCGATACCCTTTAATCCAGAGCAGGCGAGGTCCCAGCCCAACGAAAGTCCAGCAGAAGACGACCGCACAAGGAAGAGAAACTCCCTTAAGGTATGGGAAGAGGAAAGCAAAACCTGCATAACCACTTTAAGAGCCTGAACGATCAGGCTGGGAGGAAAGCGCTCAGAAATAAGGAGACACACCAGAATACGGAGGCGAAACACACAGTTCTTTCTTCCCGTCGCTCAGCTCCGTTCAAAGAGAAAGGCCCTGACTTAAGCGGAGGCTCACCAGCGCAGCGTTGCTATCGAAAGGGCAGGCTGCCGGTGGCCTGAGCAGGGCAGGGAGAGCAGCGCCACTGTTTCACTGCTTCCAGCTGCGGAACAGTTTGATTTCAAAGGGAGACGGCCTCTCGTCTTATCGCGTAGTTTAAAAAAAAAATAAAAGAATCACTTAATTAGGCAGCACGGCCAAGGCAAGGCAGCTCAGCTCAACTTGCTTGCTATTGCGCAAGTGCGTCCAAAATAGCTATACGAAGAGCAGGGAATTTGCAACAAAGCTGAAGTGTGTTTGGACATGTGCGCCTGTGCCCTGGACAGGGCAGGAAGGAAAACAGCAGCTGTGAAACCGAGGGTGGTATAAAGGCACCGGCTTCCGCAAGCCCGGACTACACAGCCTGAACGGTGAGTAAGCGCGAGAAACGCAGAGGAGACGAAGGAGGAGTTGCCCGCAAACTCCACATTTTACAGTTATTTTCTGCAAGCTACAGACTAAAAGACAGTTGACCCTCCTGAAACAAGCACGAGCCCGACTCTTTACACTGTGAAACAGGGACTTAATTCAGCCACTGAACCACTCAAAGCCCCGTTACCCGGCTGTCCCTCCTCCGAGGAAGCAACAGCGCTCCCCTCCCTGCCCCAAAGGCCCCACGTGCCTCTCCTTTCGGAGGGTTTAGTTGTTAGGACCCCCAGTTAAACTCGAGCAATTCTTCTCAGCTCGTTTCCCGCTTCAGAGCTAAGGAAGAGCCTGAGCACCCGAAGGCTCTCTCTACTTCTCCAGCTATTCCGTTTCATTTAACAAGTACGTCCAGCCGCAGGCTTCGCGCTCACAAGTCAATCATTAGATTGATCTGCAGGATGCCAACGAGCAGATCCCCGTTTGTTGCCCTTCCTACCACCGCTTCCACAAGCGGTAGGGACACATGATGTCATTTTTCATGACTTCAAATTCACCAGTGCAGAATAATCTCGTGTTTGGACCGAGTTGCGCTGACACGAAGATTAAAACCGTTCTCAAACGCGGTGTTTAACGCAGATACGAAGTTGCTGTTGCACCGTGCCAGCTGGTAGAGCTGCTGGAAGATTTCGGTACAACAGGTTTGTGCAAGAAAGGATATTCTTCCATTTCTTTCTGTTCCCGCAGGTTAAAGAAACGAAACGAAACGAGATGCCTCTCCAGATGAGATCAAGGCAAGAGAACTCAAAGGAGAATCACCTGGAACCTAACACGGTGGCTGTCTAAATACCACAGTGACTGCCCCAAATATCGCCAGTCCTGCAGTCAGCCACCAGCGTGGGACCTCAGAGCACCGCCGCTGCCTGGAAGACGCGTGGAGAGAAACCTCAAGGATTTTGATTATCGATATCTCTAAAGAAGATGGAAGTTCCCAGCCCTGCCTGAAGCTTGCATCGAAGTTTTGGAGGTAGGTGCCACTTACAGCAGGTTACTGAACAAACGAAGGCAGTTAATGATCTCTCGTTAACCAGTTACAATAAGTAACAGAAAGAAGAGCCAGAGATATTTTTAACAGGACCAAACCAGCTTATTCTGTACCAAGCTTATCGAACATCATGAACAAAGTCTCCTTAACAGGCAAAGATCCCCAGTTATGTCAGGATTCGCAGAGTATGAGGCGCTACGCTGGGATCCACAACAAGGAAAGACGACCCCCGTGCTCTCCCCAAGAGATATTCGTCAGCGTGACAAGGCTGGGAGGGCGAAGACGCCTCCAGTCTTTCAGCAAGATCTCCAGAGCGCGTGGAAGGGGATGGCAGCACCTGCCGGGCGGGCACACCGTGTCCGTCCGTCCCCCCCCAGCCCTGCGCAGCACTGAGCCAGCACGTGGAGCCAAACCCCGGCAGGGAACGGGCTCGTTTCATCAGATTTACTAGACCGGGGCAGCGCCGTCCTACATCGTGAGATGCCATTTTCAAATCGGAGAGACAGGGCTTCGAGGCTGCGGGCAGCAGCAGCTGGAGGCTCCTCGCGTCCAGCTGCTGATGACGGGGGAAATTTTTCTTTTTAAAAAAAAAAAGGGACAAAGGTGAAAGCAAAACCTCACGCTCCCGAAAGGAGGATGTAAAGCCTGCCACAAAGGCCAGCTGTAGCTGCAGAGAGCCGTCAGACAACCGCAGGGGCATCCACGGTGCAACGTACGTTTCTCCTCATTAAACAGTAAGCCTGACATCAGAGTTGCCTGTTGTAAATCGCGTCCAATCTTTTTTTGTTTAAACAGTGAGTAAAGCGCGACCACAGCCCTGTTCGGTCAGATACCGGGGCAGCTATAACGTGCTTAAAACAACCGAATATTTACTTCCTCAGTGCCAAAGCAATAAATCCCTACAGGAACAGCGACCGTGCATGTAAGCCACCCTATATTCCCCCCCCACGGAAGGAACATGACGGGAACATCATCATCCAAACCCTTCCCGAGACACACGGGAGCGCGTTAAACTGGAGGTGAGGGAGAGAAAGGATTTTTTTCCTCTGATTTCACTTTGATTCCTCAAAACACTGAGCCCGATCAACAAACGGTTTCACTTTGGCTCGGCCACGACACCAGAGGTCAGGAAACCACCCCTTCCTGCAGATTACGTCCCAGCCAAACAGCAAAGGTAGGGCAGCATCCGCAGCCGCTCACCGACGAAAGTCGAAAGCCCGGACGCTCGTTTTCACACCACCGCCACATGAGTCAGGTCCGAGAGGCCGGTCCCGGCCAACTCCCTGCGTAAATGACCCCACGTTTTCAGAGCACAGAGGTTAATCCGACAGAGGAGAAACCCAGCGAAAGCAGAGGAAGTCTCCAAGAACCTCGGAGGCTTCGGCCCCCCCCGAAAACCCCGGCCAAAGGATGCGCTTTGCCTTACGGGCTTCAGCTGTAAGAGCTGACGCTGCAGGACGTTGAAGGCAGACCCCGCAGGGACCCACCGGTCGGCTGGGCCGCCGCGTAGCACGGGCGAGAGAGGG